AAATAAGCACCGCGTTAGAGCTCTGTCTTCTTCAAATCTTATGCTATCGAGTGATTACTAGTAACCTAGAAAGAGCTGTGTCTTGCAAGGAAAACGCGTGTACAAAACATAATTGTTTTTTTTTGCTGGAGTGTTATAAGAGGGTCTTTTCGAAAACGGCCATGCCCCGTGCTAGCCAAAGGTCTAAGCTTTCGCACGCTAACCAACAGTCTAGTGGAAAGTTTTTGTTGTGTAAGAGAATTTCAGTTAAATGAGCTGAGTTCCAAACAGAAAAGTCCGATGTGCTTCATGCACTGCCCACTCGCTTTGCTCTAAAAAAATCGTGCTCTAGTGGCCATGAACAACTCACTGCTCACTGTTTTGAATTCATTCGAGCACAGGCAGCTGATTAGGTGTAATTTTGACTAAAGGCTGGGTTAGCGAATATATTTGTTCTTATCACAGACGGACTACGGCATTTTCAAATTGAGTATGGTTTGCTTCGTTGCGAGTAAGAGCTTTCAATGCCGGATACGATTTGAATGACTACTAAGCCGATCTCACCAGTTATAATAAATTGAATTTTTCATTGCTATATATTTGTTGTGACAAGATTAAATAAGAGTAGGAATCAAACAGTTGTATTTTTTGCACTTTTTTCAACAAAATTTTGACTACTTATTGCAATCCTTTAGAATGTCTCGCTCAAAATGTTTTTCCTTATTAGATAATGATGATTTTCGAAAGAAGTATTGCAACTTTCTACGTTGGTCAGTATGAGAAACTCAAAAGGAACATGGGGAATTTGCTTCTACTCCTAACGATAAGTATCCCATTCATATCTTTTCCTTTTCAATATTCTTACTTTCAAAGATCAAATGAATTTCTTTTTCTATTCAACCGCTTCTAGCGGTGGTATGATGTTCTCCAATATACCCTTTGATGTAGAGTGATGTGCAAAGTTTCACGTCAGGCAAGGCTAGAACCCGTACCTCACTCTTTCCGGGAGAGCGTGCTCTGTCCGTTACACTAATGACGCCCATTTTGCACAACACTCTTTGTACTCTACAGCGCATCTATTTGCCAGCCAGCAGGCGTCAAAGGCCTGGCCCGCGTAGTCGACACCGTGGATTGAGTGAGGTACGTGCTCTAGTCCCGCCTGACGCGAAAGTTTTGCACATCACTTTACATCAATGGGTATAATTGAGAACATCATACCACCGCTGGAAGCGGTTATATGGAAAAAGAATTTTATTTAATCTACAATACCCATTATGTGCCAGCGTGACTGGGTTCGATGTCGAAGTTGACTACCCGGGCCAGGCCGTTGGCGGCTGGTGGCTGACAAATAGATGCGCTGTAGCGTAGAAAGAGTGTTGCGCAAGATGGGCGTCAGTAGTGTAACGGGTTAGAGCACGCTCTCCCGAATAGAGTGAAGCGCGGTCCGCGTGACGCAAAAGTTTTACACATCACTCTACATCAATGAGTGTATTCTTACTTTTCCCCGAGCATCATTTCTGCTTAAAGTTAAGGCGACGTCGATCAAAGTGTACTTTTTTGGTTATTTACTACTAAGCACACTGTAGCGAATGACTCGATTCCATGGACCTTCCTTCATTTTGTTATTACAGGTATTTATGTGTACTTGCGAGAACATCTGGCTTTATGAAAACGCTGACTTCGATGAGCTGCGTTTTAACTTCATAGAAAGGCCATCAAACTGCAGGCAGAAAATGGTGAAGCTCCTTAGTTTGATGTCTGCTGTTCATATCTTCGGATCTATGGTGATGGCATTCATCTGCATGATACATTATCGTCGCCGCAGGTATCGCAATGGCTTATTCATTACTACCCAAATTCGGTTTTTTGTGATTATATTGGAAACAAATGAAAAACCATTAATATTCAAGAGAGAAACTTTTCATAGGAGTGTTGGTAACAATCTGAAAGCTGACACTTCAGGCTACCGTCTCAGGTCTCCAACTTTTCAAGGCAGCCTTTTACGCTGTGACCTCCACACAAAACTATCGTACATTTCTCGTCAAAAAGAGTTCTTTCTTTGGACTTTTAGTGACCATAAGATAATGTAGTGCTTTCGGATGCCAATGCTGTGCTTACATCTTGAAAAGACCTTTTTTCTGCACCGAAGCATGAAAATAAGTTGACCTCATGTGTGGGAAAGACGATTGGAGGCCATTCACGTCACTCTGAGTGTGGCGCTAAGGTGAGTGACGACGCAATACTACGCTGGCAAAACACTTCTCTACGCGTTTATAGGATCGAAAAAGCATTGGCATTAGGAAGACGAGTGTCCTCAAATCAGGTTCCATTTGTGATACCAACTTTAGTGCACCATGAGTAGCAAAGCCAGTAAAAACTATTCTCAAAGTAGAGCTTCATCTCACGATGACGCCGGCACCAGAATGCTCTTGGTTTAACGTTTTTGAAAGAAAGCGATAGCTTCTCCTTCATTATGGGGCAGAGTAAGACGATTTATCAGTACGATAGACGTAGTAGACGATTAGACAAAAAGTATAGTTGATTAGGCAATGAGATTAGTTGATTAGACAGTGAGTATTGGGATATTGGCTCAATCTACCTCTCGATATAACATGCAGTCCATGTGATCTACGTCATTGTACGCTTCAAATATGGAGCGTGGTCTCCAGACCAAACGAATGACTGTGATACTAAAGATCTCCTTCACAGTTTCATACGCTTCGACAACGCACCTTCATGCTAGAAAATCAATCAACGACCGCGTCAGTAGCTATTCACGTGGACGCCACCGCCAGCCGGTCGCGAGTGGCCAGATGCCGCCTTCTCGCACATGGCAACTCAACCTATTTAACCTGTCGGCGAAGCGATCTTTTCAGGATATGAGCACATTGTTGGCATTAGAAACGATCATGCTATTGAATGATTGCTAATACTTCAAAGGAAGAGCTCTGTCCGGCAAGAATATACGGATCATTTATGCAAGAAATTTTCCCCTATAGCAACGTCAAAGAAGCCTTTTTCAAAAACCGGCGATTTGAGCGGTAGCTTGATATCTTACCTTTCGAGTGGTTACCACTACTCCTATGAAAGCTTCTTTACCACGAAATGAGGTCGGTTTTTTCAGCTGTTCTTCTATAATCAGAAAGAACCCCATTTTGCATCGCATATACCCTAAAATCTATAGATAAGAGCGGCCAGCGCTGAAAAATAGTACTTATAGGTATTTTTGCAGTTTCTAGCAGTTTCATCAGATTGATAATTTTTTAGTAATTTCCTCTCATTCTTATTCTTATTCTTATTTCTTCTTCTTCTTAGCTTTAATTCTTAGTAATTTCTAATCCATCTCTCCTGATACTATACTGCACAACTTCGAAAAAGTACTGTATGATGTTAAATGTCTCGACTGAAAACGATTTTGTCGACATGATATAAACGAAAACGGGCGAGGTAGAAGCTGAATTATGCTACTTTGTTGCTGCTTGTTGTTTAGAATTTGAAAAAAAGCGTGTATTCATCTGTCTTTTTCTTTGTAGAAATTCAATCGCTCTTATCTGTGGAATGTTGGAGCAATTGTTTCTACGTGGAACGAAGATCTTGTGGTTCTGATATTCAAGAATGCGATAATATAGAGAAGTGGCGAAAGTGAAGTGGCAAGTGGTGATAGATAATAGATATTCACACCTCTCAGTAGAAGATCTTTGAGGAAGAAACTGAATAACTTGCGCAAAATTGAGTGCAAACACAAACCAATGAAAAAACACTGACTTCAATCTGCGCAAAGATCATCTTCGAAGGTCTCGAGCATGTTTCAGCTAATGATGACAATGAACCTGAAAAGCTCCTCATGTTGAGCGGCCCTCTTTTTTGATACAGCATGACAGATAACCTGATTGTTTTATTCACCTTACATTGGACTAATATGCATGGTTGTAAACATTTAATATTGTCAGAGAGAAGTTTCAAGCCATTTCGAAGTTGGTACGTCATTGAGCAGTGCAAGAACCAACCTCATAATGGCTTAAGGCATTCTCTTTGACTATTAGTTATGTCTTGGAGAAGTTGGTGTCTGGCTTGGTGTTGTTGCAGCCATCGGTTGAAACCTCAAACTTGGGTAAATAAACCTTTATCTACATAATAATATTATCAACACGACAAACAATAACAACAATAACGGCAAGTTTGGTAATGAGCGATGTAAACGAACGACAACGATCAGAAACTGCGACTGAGAGTAAAGTGGTGTTTCAGTGGGTTTATACATTGTTGGCGATGATAAGACTGATATTAGGTGGCAGTTCAGTGACTTTATGTGATTGCTGAGAATGATGAAAGTATGGTTGAGCTTCTATGAAGAATGGTTGGAGAGAGAGATAGAGTGCAAGGGAGAGTGATTGACTACGGCAATGTGCGATATAAAAATGTGCTATGAGCGAGGAATATGCACTACGATAACTACACAATAGATCCATTTGGCAGTCATACAATACAGTTCGGGAGAATCAAAGACTATAATAGAGAACAATGCGCCACCCATGCAACCAGAGTCGCAGAAAACAGTAGTGCATTCCACACAATGCACGTGAGAAATGTGAACGTTAAGGATGACACAATGGATCAACTCAACAATTAGACAATCGACATGCGATCAAGAGTCCGAGGAGCCAGAGATTATAACTATAGAATCAATATTTAATGAGAACCAACGATAAAGCGGAAGGGATTCATACAAGACAACAACAAGAGTATTGCATGACCACGGACATGGACTCACCGCTCTCCGCCACCGCACGATGGTGAATGCCGGTCGGCCCGATGGTCTCCGCTCCGTCCTTTGGACATGGGTCTGCCGTGTCAACGAGACCCAGCACTCCGACGGTCTATCAATTGATTGAGTCGATAATTGAGTCGACTTTCTAGTCAGTTTATATTGTCGAAATTTCCAGTATTTTTAATGCGTTTTTTTTGCAGTGTTATGATGTTTTCATATAAATCTAAGAGAATTAAGTGATGAGCAAGAATACGACCTCAAGCGGGAGTCGAACCCGCGTTTTATCCATACCGGAAACGCGTGCTACCACTATCCCACCGAGGTAAATCCGCGCCACCACTAATTCTTTAACATCTTTATGTTAGCTGTCAGCCACCAACTTTTAACACGTTTGGCCGGGTACGCGATTTTGCTTTATAAACCCGACCAAGACCTGTTAACGGTGGTGGCTGACAGTCACCATAGAGATGTTGAAGAATGAGTAGTGGCACTAATGTATCTCGGCGGTGTAGTGGTAGCACGCGTCCCCGGTATGGATGAAACGTGGGTTCGACTCCCGTCTAAGTTTATATTGTAGCAATTAAGTTCGTATATGGAAAAAAATAACCAAGGGGAAATATTTGACATTTGGAACTTGTAGTGCATTAGCCTGAGTTTACTATATTAAGCTTTCCAGAGTGACGTCTGCTCTCAATGTTCGATTCCAAGCTTATGAGACTCGTACATCATCTCGTTTGCTCCTCGCGTTGTCCGTCATACAGATCGTCGTTTTTTTCCATTCATTCCATCACTGCATATGCTCACTACACTAATGCGTACACCTTGATTTCAAACTCCTGGTCTATTCGCAGTGCTATTTCGATAGCTTTATATGTGAGCTCACTTATATTTTCTAAAATATTGTCAACAATAACAGTGTGCAAAACCACGCATCATGAAAATCACTGATTACGCTCATGTCCCAGCAAGTTCTGAAAGCACAGAGTTTTTTTTACATCGTCTTTGGCTCTGGTTAGGGAAATTTGGCTAGAGTTGAGCAAAAAGTCTTGGGAACTTTTGAACGCATCGTTTTTGATGGGCAAATTAATAACGAAAAGAACGATAAATTTTCTATGACTAAAAAAAGATACCACAATTGTGCACCACTTTTGCCATTGTTCTGCAAGATTAAGAGTCTGCCTGAGCTATCATTCCGGCTTTTTGAATAAAAACGTTTTTGACATACCTTCTCAACTTCATCAAATGGATGAAATCGGCAGCTATTCAAAAGTCATTTTCAATTACCCAAGTTCTAAATAACAACTACAAATCCTAAGACAAGAACTTTACCGTTCCTGACGAGTTTTCATCGAAAAAATCGATTAAATGGTGCAAAATCATATGAAGTTATAAAGTTGGCAATATCACTTTCAGAAGATTTAGTAAAGTCAAATTTGAGCGAAAAGGCGTGTAACATCAAAAAGCAGGAATCAACCACATTTCGCACCAATACTGAACATCAATCATGACGTGAACAACCAAAGTCGCCATCTTTTGGTATGCTACTGGAAGATGATCCAGCAGCACTGGTTGAGATAGTGGAAACGATTGTCGCGGTACGACCAATTCTTGCACACAGTATTCAAAAAAATTTGAAAAGTGCTACAATGATTGAAGCAGGCCTTATTCGGATATGGCTCATGCGGATCCTGACGAAGATTTCGAGGACAAAGTCAAATTTGTGGGTTTGTTGGCAGCAGTTTCGCTGCGAAATCCCAAGTTTGCCAGGCAAATCATGAGTGTTCGATGTAGGCTTAACATCTAAAACATCTTGCAAGTCACTTTCATATAAAACAGATGACCCCTCAGATCGAGGTATGTCTTGAAGATCAAAACTGCTTTCTTTGAACCGTTTTAACCCCAGCCTACAGTCGATTTTATCGTTGTACCACCACTTTCGTGCTTTTTAATCTCATAGACGGCTTTGAGAATCGCTAACCTATCTATGGGAAACCATCATTGAACATTTACTTTAGCCAATTTCCGAATACACTCTATTATTTCCGCTTGTCACCATCTTCTTCTTGGCGAATTCGAGACGGGCTCGTCGATCCAACATCCTCTCAATGATTCAGGTTGACAATTCTTTTCAGAGCTCTACTTTAAATTAATGACTTTCTTACCAAGTGTTCGTTCGGACTTCCGCATCCTATCGCTTGTTAAAACGGTTAGTAGTTTGTGCGCTATATAAAACCTTTCCAGATGAAATCATCTGGTGGTGAAGGATGGGCAAACTATTCTACTCAGCTACAAAAGCAATGGAAGTAACTCACTCCCTATGTTTCATATTGATGAAAACACAGAGCCAGGGATTGGTACAGCACTGGAGCCGTAATTGTTTTCTTTTGGAGACTCATGATTTGTGACACAAGACTTTTTATACGACGTTTGTTGTACTGTTCTTGCTAATCAATAAATTTCATTTTGTCAAGAACTTCCACAAAATCAGTTAGACAATGGGAGTCAGTTAGACGTTTTCGAAGCATCTCGCATCCGGCTGTAAAAATTATTACTGAATTTGCAAGCACAACAAGCTATTCTGTGTAATAATGCGGCCCCTTTTGCTCTATTTTTGGAGAGCCAGGTTATTTACATGGAGAATGTCACCGTTTCACTACGAGTTAAAAAATTTAGTTGAAATGGGCTCACATCACATGTGCGAAATGAACCAATTTTGGAGTCTTGCAGCTGATTTCGAGTATGCCCAAGATTGTGTTTTTGCTTGGAAGCATTTACGATATTGTTCACGCAATGCTTATTTCTCTACTGGCTGTCGTTTTGGTGAATTTTGATATCTTTAGAGCTTGAATGGTCGTACATGGTGTTTCTGAAGTCTACATAGAGCTGACTCGCTCAGCATTCAGTAGTGGCGATATTGCTTAATGAATGTTAGTAATTGCAGTAAGATACAGAACATATTAGTCCATGCAACAGTACAACAACGCAGTCTAATACAATACAGTGGCTAACGTTTCAGCGTCTCACCTTCGTCAGAGCCTGGAAAGGTCAGAATGAATATTTCAATCCACTCAGTCATATACCTCCGTAATCAGGGCACAAAAACGTAAAATACAAACTTTAGATCGCGTAGGAAGAACTTCATTTTACAACACCCACCGTTAAGATGTCTAGGTCCTTCCAATTATTTATTGAAGACCTACCGGCTGGAGTGAAAGCATAAGTGAAGCTGTACTTGCTGACTCAGGCAGTGAAGATTAGCGTGAGGTACGGTGCAAGGTCACGTGTGATTACCAGGCTCTACTCTTCGCGGTTCATTTTTTGACCTTTACTATGTTTCTAAAAGACCTTCTATAGTTTCACGCGAGAGCAGGTATTGTATTTGTTCGTGAGTGCATGAGGGCGTATAAAACTGTAAACTCCATACGCTACCCTTTTTCTTCATGTCAAAAGGCACCAGATCGCGAGCGTATAATAGTGACACTCCTCTGTTTGAAATTGCCGCCCATATCGGCAGATGTCTGGTGCTATTATATTTGTGATGTTACCTTAGCAACTGTTAAGTCAATCTAGCGGGAAAATAATCAAATAAACTGGTACTTACTTCTCCATTCAAGAATGTGATCATAGGTATTTGCAATTTGCGATATGAAATGACTTTTGCGACGTTTAAAAATCCCATTAATTTTTATTTGTGCTATAAACAGTTCACATAATCATGCGCATAACGTTACAGAATAAGTTTGGTTTCTGAGGAGGACGAAGTTACCGAACCGTTACCTATCAATTTGAAAAAAGGCATACCACCTCACGAAAGCTTTCATTCAAGATTGGTTCTTAGGATATCCTTTTTCTTTCCATTTTTTACCGAATAATTATACCTTTATCTCGAGTGCTTTGTTTAGACCACGCTCAAATTTCAATATATCCTTTCATCATTTTCGAGCCAACATGTCATGTGGTCTGCTAAGGGCTCTTGTACAGCCCGAAACACGGTTTCGTCCTTACAGACTCATCAGCCGGGCATAACCCGTCGTCTGTCGATCTTTTTATAGTCAGTTATCTCGGAAGCGTTACACTCCTTTTAGAGAGTTATCGACGACGTACGCTTTACACTCTATGTCAAGTGAAACATTCACCTAACACAGAGTGTTGTGCACTCGATTGCGTGGTCTAGACAAAGCACTCGAGATAAAGGTATAATTATGATAAAAGTACCAGCCAATGAGCAATCGAGTGCACAACATTCTGCGTTAGGTGAATGTTTCACTTGACATAGAGTGTAAAGCGTACGTCGTCGATAACTCTCTAAAAGGAGTGTAACGCTTCCGAGATAACTGGCTATGAAACGATCGACAGACGACGGGTTCTGCCCGGCTGATGAGTCTGTAAGGACGAAACACGTGTCTCGGGCTGTACAAGAGCCCGTTGGCTCAAATAATGATGAAAGGATATATTGAAATTTGAGCGTGGTCTAAACAAAGCACTCGAGTTAAAGGTATAATTATGATAAAAGTACCAGCCAATGAGCGGTCTGGAATTTGTTTCATTTATTTGTCTATTTTCACTTCTGCTGATATTATTGATGGCAAAAATGAACTTATCGTAGCAATTATGATGCACAAGACGGGTCTGAAAACGGCCAACATCAATAAAATCAGCTGGTTTCAAACGAGCAAATCTCCAGAGACCCGTGAAAAGTTCTAGAGGAACTAGAGGGATTGAAAATTGTTTTCGTAAAGGTTGCTCAACCACCTTGTCTCTTCGAAATACACCCAGAAGATCCGTTACCCAATTCAACGAGATCCGCCGCGTTGGGTGCGTGAAATAGCTCAAGAAGCTCGGGAACCAGCGATTGGGATGTCCGAAATATTGTCAGAAATAAGGTGTAGCTGCGCCGTTACAAGATCGCTCGTATTCACTTACTGGACTAGAAGAAAAGAAGAACGGCTTTCAAAGTCTCGCCGAATGATCTGCTTGTTAAACTGGTGCCGTTTGTGGAAAGTGCTTTCCGACGGATGAGGGGATATATTCGCGATCGAACCACTCTCGCCATAATCGATGTCAACTGTTCGAGAAGGGTCAGTAGAAGTGCCGGTAGCGAAAACCATTAGGCTGCTGTCATTTTCCGAGCTCTGTGATAGTCTAGGCAGACACCTGCGCCACCAGAAAGACATAGTTGCTCTTGACCAGCAGATACGTCAAAATCAACGCTGACAGCTATCAGCAGCAAGTTTTGCGGAATGTACTGGAACCTTGAACTGCTCAGCATTTTGGCGCCGAGGAATTTATCTTGAGCAGGACAGCGCTCTTGCTTATTCAACCCG